TGGCCGAATGTTTTTTATGAAACTCTCTCATATATTCCAAGGCCTTCCCGAGGAATAGTGGATGTAAATTCCACCGAATTTTGATCAAAGGTGCTTGTGTGGTTGGCGATGGCAGTTTGCTTTCAGCTTCTTGCTTGAAATGCTCGAAGCGTGCCTTCATCTCCCCAGGCCAAAGAAGAAGTTTGATCCGTTTATCAGCCTCCTCAAACGTGGTTTCGACATCTCGATTGACCAGCCGTTTCCCTTAAACCAGCTCTGTCATAATCATTGGAGATGGTCGTTCATCGTTATTGGCAACTGTTTCCTTCGACCGCCATTTAGGGACCGAAGTTTCTTGGGCTGCCCGTCGGCGGGCCATGCAATCTATTCTTTGGTGCTAACGTATCTGGGATTTGGACAGTGCAATGTAAACACCTTTCGAAGAGTGATATGTATACCAACGTTGGTCTCGAGGTTTGGGAGGTTTGAAAGTTTTTTGGCTCTGCGATGATTCCAAGCTGCTAGAATTACGTGTGTAATAATCTTCGTCATAAAACGGAGCATCAAAATTGAGGCGCCGTCTGACTGAAGGTGTCTCTTCCACCCGTACTTTAGGACCGAGCCTATTAAAAACCCCTTGATGTTGGCCTACGTTGAGCACATTTTGCTGTGTTGCAGCTGTATGTTGTTCCATTATAGGTGGAGATGACTTTTCCTTTGGCTCGGTATTGACATTTGCTTTACATTTGCTGCATAAAACTGACGACCCACTGTCTTCATCAGTGTTGTAACCTGTCATGGGCTTGACAATAGTTGGTCCCGTTAGAGCTGTAGGTGGTTTGTTTGAACAAAAATCAGCATTGAAACGTGGCCGAGAATTCTTATTCAGAGAATGTTGCTGTGTAGCGACCTCTACTTTCCCTTTTCCTTTGTCCCTAGGTAGGTGAGCATCTACCATATTTATTGTTGTCGTAGGAAATGGGTCGATATCAACACTCATCTTCTTCTCCGAAAATCTGAGTTTGCCTTTACCAATCCAGCTTTGGATGTTGTCTTGAAACACGACGCAATTATTTGTCGTATGTTTGCTTGAATTATGGTATTTGCAATATATCTTTCCTTTAAGCTCGTCGGCCTTGGGAATGGTATGCCCAGGCCGAAGTTTAATGATCTTCGCTGATAACAATTGATCAAAAATTGCATCAGCCTTTGTAATATCAAAAGTATAGACTTTTGACGTTTTCATTGTTTCTTCAGGGGCCGAGCGGGTTTTGACTTCCTTAGCGTCAATTTGAGTCAGTGCCTTGCAAATGTATGGCTTATTTATGACTATCTCATTTGCGTCCACGCTAACGCATTCACCTTCGGCCGATGCATAACTAACAGTGGGATTTTTTTAGACCGTCCCTCTGGATGGAGCTTTCGAGATCTTCTCTTCACAGAGCAAATAATCATATTGCTCGACATGCTGGGCTAGTTCATACATATCCCGAAAGTTTGCCCCCAAGAATTTCTTTTTGTATTCTACGTCAAGACCATTCAGAGCGAGTCTGACGAATTCGACTTCGGGGAGAGGTACTTAGCACCAATTCCTGGCTGATTTAAATCTGGTAAGATAATCCATTGGTGACTCGTCGGATGCTTGAGCCATCCTTGCTAACGAGGATACTGACATTTCCATCTCTGGCCGATAAAACTGCTCATGAAATTTCTCTACCAACTCCTCCCAGCTTTGGACAGAATTCGGTGGGAGGTTGATATACCAAGCAAATGTTGAACCGGTCAGCGAAAAGTTAAACAGTTGCAGCTTATGAAAGTCGCCATTGACATCTCTGCATTGCGCAGTGAAATGAGCCACATGTTCCAACGAGGATAAAGATGATTCTCCGGCGAAAAGGCTAAAATCTGGGATTTTGAAACCTCTAGGGTATTCGAACTGTTCCACATAAGCTGGATACGGATGTATAAATTTAGGGAACTTCGGCCCTTTCTTCATGGCCGAATCAATCATCCGTTGGACCTCGATCATATCGACGGGTGTTGATTCCACTCTCTGGTCGGATCCGTCTGACCTACTATTTGATCCTTCTCCTTTTTCCAAGTTAATTGGTTTGAGCCGAGTAGGGGTTGACTCAACTGATGCAATTGGTAATAGATTATTTCTTGGTGGCAAGTGTTGGCCAAGATCGAAAGACCTACCATCGCTGACCTTACTAACCAGTATTTCGAGTAATCTGGTTTGTGCCTCACTGGTATTGCGTATCACGTCATGAAGTTTATCTATTCCTCGACTAAATGTCTGTTCAACCGTCCGAGATTCTCGTCAAGTCATTTTCGAAGAAACGATCTTGTTGGTGGATCAGATCCCTCACCACCATCCTCGTCACAATCCTCCATTATCCCTTCATTGAGAACGCAGGTGTTCCTGTTAAGGATTTCAAGACTGCGAAACTGACCGCCGAGATTAACTTCCCTTTCTCGACGAGTCGCGCTCGTGGACTCAGGTGTCACGGCGCTAATGGGATTCTGTGCCTGCGGCACACTTTGTCCTATGTTCTGAATTGGCAAATCGGCTGTTGATTTTCCCATAGCTGTTTTCTTTTTTACCGATCGCGTTTCAATTGGCATGAACTTCGTAGTTTAGCATTGGGTCCCACTGGGCGTGCCAAAATGTTGACCCTAAAAACTACCAAGCGTACGTGGCACGCTGGCCAAGTAATCTATAAGCTAACTACGTCATTCGATGAATGCGGGGCATGCCAACTCATCGACCGAGGAGTAAATTTGTTGATGTTGCGTTGGGTGCGCGGCTGACTTCTGCGTCTTGCGATTGCGACCGAGGAAGGAACACGTCTCGGCCTCTTGGGTTCTCGAACCTGAAGACAAGGCTACTATTCTTACGAAGTTCATGAATCGTCGTCGTTGGATTCGGTCACAGTGATGGTATTCGTCAGAGTAAACTCACGCCGAATCGACACCAAAGTGTAAGGGCACAAATACTCAAAGCAGATATGAGTCTTAATAGTGAACGTGGTTCGGCCGTCTGAATGCCGAACTCTAAATCCTACTTGAGAGTATCCAATCATAAAATAACTCGGCGTACAATGCGCCGAGCTCAGTAGGCTGTAACACCTCGCTTCGCCGAGAAGGCTAACGAGATGACCTCAATCAATAAGGATTCGGAAATCCTTCTCGATCGAGACTTGGATAGGTAACCAACCGTCCTCGCCGCAATGCTATTGATGCCAACGGAAGATACTGCGAGATCGGCTGATTCTACGGCGACAGAGCTATCTATGCCGACTGAAGATATCACCGGTTGCTTTCACAATGTTGTTGATGCCAACGGAAAATGTGTCAGCGAAAAGAGAAAATAAAAATCTCAAAGTTGTTGAGAGAGTTTGCGCAGGGCAGTTGTGTGTTGAATTCGAATGGGCTTCGAACGATGCACAGCCTCCTTTATTTATAGCACCGGATACCTTCAAGGTCGAGTTAAAAACCTACCCGGATTAGGACTTCTTCTCCCAATCAAACTCCAACTCGACCAGTCCTTTTTCACTATACTTTTGAACCCAGTCCTATATCGAACCGGATTCACTTCCGGGTTGTTAATCTCGCTGAAACTCCTCATTGCACCAAGATTCGATTCGTCTTGCAGCATGACTTAACCGACCCAGGTTTGGAAGCCCACGAACCAAACGATCCATGGTAACTTTGTCGTAGGGCCTTCCGGGCCGAGAATAATTCTATACTCGGCCCAAACTGATATTTTGGGCCCAAACAATTGTGCAGTTAAAAATTATTTTATTCAAAATTGAACATAAATAGTTTTTGGGCTTGTTTTATTGCAATTCAACTTTGAGTGTTGCTGCCACTCTTCTTGGTCCTCGAGTTGATTTTTGTCTTGTTGGTTATGCTGATACTGATACTTATCTGACCCATACAGAGCAAATCTTAGACGAGTTATGTACCATTAGTGGGACTACAATTTCTTGGAGGTCTACTAAAAGGATTTAGTTGCTACATCTTCGAACCATGCCAAGAAACTCACCCTCTATGAGGCCGCACGTGAGTGTACATGGCTTAGACCAGATTCGGGACGTCCCAACAATAATATTTGATGATAATTCCGCATGTATAGACCAGATTCGGGAAGGATACAAGTAGAGTTCAGCAAGAAGAGTTGATATAAGACTTGCACATGGAAGAGCCATAAATTTTGTTGAGGGTCAACTTTAAGTAACTATAAAATAATGATAACTTGAGTTTCATATAAAATTTACTTAAGAAATAATCATAAGTATCAACTTATTTAGCATAAAATATATTCTTAGTTTACAACCTTGATATTATTATGTTTTAATTAATTACACTATAGCAGGTGACGTTTTTCAACAATAGCGAAAAACAATCATGCCTATATACCTTGATACGAATTCGAATAAAAATAATTGAATATGAGTATGAGAACATGAAGTTAAATATATTTTATTTGATTAAGACGCAAAGAATGAAATTACAAAATTAAATGTTCAACCCTCTGAGCAAATTGGGAGAGAAGGGTCAAAAAACCATCCTAGGCCTTAACCGGCTCTGCCAGTGCAGCACATTTGAAAATTCAACTAGCTTGACTGGTGTATACAACACTGACTGCGAACTTTTCCACAAGAGAACAGGAGAAAATAATTAATTATAAGTTAGTCAAGATTGATGGGTGGCTTCAGCCAATAGCAAAAGCTTAAGATATGAATATATATATATATATGAAAAGATAAGAGAGCTTGCCACCAGGAAACGCGGTTGGGTCGTGTAGAAAAACACCAACATCAAAATATGCGGTGCGATGAATTCATTGGAATTCACCTCTGAGTTTCGGAATCTTTAGGGTTTCTTCTTCTTCTTCCTCCTCCTTGTCGAAATTCCAAGACATGGAACTCGAAATAGTATCTAGAGAAATCATCAAACCCTCCTCTCCAACTCCATCTCACCTAAGAACTTTCAACTTCTGCTACTTTAATAAGATGGCTGGTCGTATGTACGTGCCGGTGGTTCTTTTCTACAACCCTGCGGGTGGCGCATGTGCTGTTGAAAAATCCAATCTGCTCAAGAAGTCTCTCTCGGAAACACTAGCCTTGTACTACCCATTTGCTGGAAGGATCGTAGATGCAGAATATATTGACTGTACTGATGAGGGAGTGACATATTTGGAAGCGAAAATCCATGCCAAGTTGTCAGAAGTTCTCCGAAATCCTGACAATGAAACATTAGACCTTTTATTTGCAGACAATTTGCAATGGGAGGACACAAATCTGAGCACTTTACTTGCCGTTCAGGTTAGCTACTTTGAGTGTGGAGGAATGGCAATAAGCATGTGCATGTCACACAAACTTGGCGATGCGGCCACCCTGATCACCTTCATCAAAGACTGGTCTGCCATGGCTTCAAACTCAGGTGAACATGTGATCCCTCTATTCGATTTAACCTCAATGTTCCCACAGGACGACCTACCGATTGGTAAGGAACATGTTAATGATAAAGGGAAGCTTGCCACAAGAAGGTTTGTATTTGATGCCCTAAAAATTGCCGCCCTCAAGGCCATTGTTGCTCAGAAAGTGCAAAACCCTACAAGGGTAGAGGTTGTGACTGCACTACTATTTAAGTGTGCAAGCTCAACCTCTGGTGGACGAGCAGTCCTTTGCCAAAATATCAACTTGCGTTCGAGGCTCGTCCCTCCGTTGCCGGAAAATTTTGTAGGAAATTTGGCTTGGTTCTTTCCAGTACCAAAACTAGAGGAGGATGGTGAGATAGAGTTGCCTGGCTTCGTGGGACAAATGAAAGAGGCTTTGGCTGAATTCTGCAATACATATGCGAGCAAGTTTAGAGGCAAAGAATGGCGCTTGAGCATTAAGCAACACATGGAGAAGGCTAAGGAATTGTTTGGGAGCAACACAGCTAAATATACATGTAGCAGCTGGTGTAGGCTTCGAATATACGAAGTGGACTTTGGGTGGGGAAAGCCGGTGTGGGCGAGGATCGGCAGCCGTGCGGGGAAGAATGTCAGTATTCTAATGGATACAAGAAGTGGGGATGGGATTGAGGCCTTTGTGACGTTGGAAGAGCAAGACATGGCAAAGTTTGAGCGTAATGAGGAGTTACTAGCATTTGCTACTTTTAACCCAAATCCCATTGAGGAACTCTCGTGAGCTCTTTGATTGACTAACTCTCAATCACTACAAATTGTTTCACTTTCTTTTCTCTTGCACACAACCGGATTACAATGCCGGCAGGCCATATATTTAGGCTTTGTAGAAAACTCTAGCTCTGTGTTTGGCAAAATCAAGAAATGATGCGTGGAAAATAATGTGAACGAGTTATGGGAACGGCGTCTTAAGATTTCGAGTTTATGTAGAAGACGACGTTGAGTTTTAAGTTTGTATTGGATAATGTTCCTAAGTGAAGTTAAATAATGTCTTCTTAAATATCACAAGAAATTGCTATCAGCACGCCACAGACCAAACTATTCATCATGCACTCTTCTTTTATTCTTCTATTTATGAGAGCTCTTGACAGCTCTTAGTGGCAATAACAGCTCTCGTGTTATGTATCATGTCAATCATAGACAACCAAAACAAAAGTTCCTAAACTGACAGTCTTCACAACAACATGGCACTTCGAGCTGTTTGACAGGAGAAAATCAAGAATCCAAATTCCCCGAATCCGAAAACTTGTACATTTCATGTGGCAGTGTTTACTTCTTTGTTTTTTTTTAACACAAGTTCATGAATCTGCGCAAATACGCGTAGGAGAAAAAAAACGTCACACATGTCATCGATCAATAATCAGCAAAGGAAGAAGTGAATTTCACCTGTGTATGTTGTTGTATAGTTTCTATAAAAAGCACGTATGAAGCACAGATTTTGCCCTCCCAGCCAATTTCAATGAGGTCCCAGGAAGAGAGTTTCTGCTGCTCTAGGAAAATCTCTCTAGGCTTCAAAACAGAAAAATGAATCACTCAGTTACCGGATCTCTTCAGGTACGCTAAAACGCCTAAGCCAACAGCAAGAGCAGCCCCAGCTGCCGCAGCATTGTATGCTGATGCCCATGCAGAATCTGCATATGCATAATCCACATTTCCTGCAGCTGAACCCCTTCGCCGGCGACTGCGTGTTCCTGAATAATCCAAATGCAGTCTCAAACCCTGCAGAGTTGATCATTTCAACGTCAGACTGAGCTCATCACATACTTCCTGCTATGACTAATCACAAACGTATATTATCGTCCCAGATGACATAATTTCGGGATCACAGCCTAGATTTTGAGTCTCGGGGAGGAATAAGTAGAGTACAGGAAAATCTATAGCCAAAAACTAAGATCAAATTCTGTTGGAAACTTAGCTATATTTCTCCTCTATAAGCATCTAGCAAATGTGGACAGACATATCATACCTTCCAACCAACTTGCTTTGCATGATCCACAGCCGCTACAAGATCACTATCTGATGCCAATATAACTTTATCACGGTCCTCATCTTCATACTGCAGAATGCAACACCAATTAAAATAATACGATTAGGATGAGGGAACTCTAGCGCCCAACTGAAAAACAGATAAAAAATGTTTACGATTATAATCTATGAAATACCAAATTTGAGGAAGGTTGTTGCGGTCAATGTCATCTCCCATTCTCTGAATGATGGAGGTTATAAGTTCTGTCAAATTCTGAATGTCTGAAGAGGAAAGAAAACTCAGTTAAGAGCTAAATTTAGCCACACTAATTTGATGAGTAATTAGAACAAGGAGCATACTGCAAGTGAATCTATGCATTCGGCCCCTTTTATCTTGAAGTTTGAAAGCAAACGTATTTGGAAAATTGGACGGTGGAAAGGGAAGCGATCTCCCTGTCACTGCACTCTCAGAAGCCAGTTTCAAAGAACCTTCACTGAGATGGCAATTATAATGCATAAGTACATGCAAACAGAAAAAACAGTCAAAACTTTTGATGTTTAATATCCCTAACATATGCATATATAGATATATAACCTCCGAGACTCATCGTCATCATCATTGGGACTCAAGGCCATGGCAGAGTCCCAAAACTTTTGCATCATATTGGTTGCAGCCTCATTACTCGCTCCAGCAGTATTTCCAACCTGGTTAGCAACGAATATTATGTAAGATATTTCTTCTTGCTCAAGGTTAAGAAACAATTAAAAGATTATTAAACAAAAAAAGCAAAACAGAAATGTGAAGATGATTGTGAAAGCAAACAGCGGCCACAGCAGGAACGACAAAAATGTACAATAGCTAACAAAAAATTGTAATAACCAACAGTAGGTAAGGACTAGACTTACAGTGGCCACAGCAGCATGAGTGATATGAATTACATCAACAACGGCAACTACAGCTCCATCTGCATCCCGGTAATCAATAATTATCATAAACTATAGTCTTATGTTACTTGACAAAGCAAAACACATTACTCTTACTATCAGCATCTTACCTCTGTCGAGAACAGGAATGTGTAAAAACTTTCCATCATGCATGGTATGCAACGCATCAACGATTGGTGTATCAACTGTAGCACATTCTGGATTTGGAGTCATGACCTATTAATCAAATCAAAAGAATGCAGAGATGGTTGGATTATTTGTATTCCTTCCATTATACAAGCATAAAATGAAGAGCTTCTTGGAATTAGCAGATGTTACAACTTCTGGACAGATAAGACAAGGACAGAGGGATACATTTGCAGTTTTCATTAAAATGGCCCTAAGGACAAGATTTCCAAACTGATAAAGACGTGTACCTTCTCTACAAGAGTGGTCTTCGGAGGAAGATTTTGTGATATCACGCGCATTAAGATATCTTTTGAGCTGACAAGAACCAAAAGCGCAGATTAGAATCCAACTTATCTATGAAACAAAAAGATTATCACAGCGACCAAAAAAGGATGGAATTACTGTGAAAAAGTTAAAACTGTAATTTTGTTACTTTAAAAAACTTAAGACAATAAACTTACGTAAGAATTCCTCGTGGCTTGTTGTCAATCGTCACAACTGCCGAGCTTACTCGCATTTCCTGCATCTTCTTTGTTGTCATCAAAACTGTATCTGTTGGTGAAACTATTAAAACCCTGAAAGACAAACCTCTAATAAATCAAAACTGGTAAATTTTATAAGCGTGTGGCCACATAAAACAACAGACATAAAAATATTACCTACTTTGTACTCTCCGGAATGATTGTTGACAAGGATGGTCTAAACAACCGCTCTCGAAGTGTCTCAACGAATGTATTGGAACCTGCATCTCCAAAAAAGAAAAAATAGAATTAAGTTAATATTGTTTTTTTCAGAAAACTGACTACTCGTCATCACGCAAGTCTACCAAAAAAAAACACAGATATTCCTCCAAAACTGCAAAAATATCTTAAGACTCTGACATAAAGTTCTAAAGAAAACACTGAACTCTCTACTAACCAGAACCAGATGTGCCCCAATGTTTTTCAACACCTTCCACAGCAGCAGCAATAGCCTTTCCCTTTTCAGCTGCTCTTTCCATTCGAGCAATGGCATCATATAAACACTTTGCTATATCAAGTAAAGCAATGACCTCTCCATTCTCCACAACAGGCAAATGTCTGAATTTCCCTATAAATGCAGAAATCATCATGTAGAAAGAGCAAGCCACAATAAGATCGTATGCCAAGAAGTAAATTTGCCTCTCATTTAATACTAACCTTGCACCATTTTCTGAAGGGCCTCAACAGCAAGAGTGTCTGAAAGAACAAATATCGGGTTCCTTGTCATAACTTTAGAAACAAGGGTTTCTTCAAGATCAAGCTCACGAGAAATAACCCTTGTCGCTATATCCTTCAACCAAATAAAGGAATAGATGCATAAGAAAACAATGCAACATTGAGTTCAAATATCGGGTTCTTTGTTTTTCTGTGATGGTATTTTCTTGAAAAATGCGACACTGAGTTCAAAGTCATACCTTGTCAGTAAGTATTCCACAGAGCAATGCATTAGAGTCCGTTAACAACAAAGCATCGACTCTACGAGCAGCCATCCGACGACAAGCTTCTTGAACACTGGTATTTTCAGGTACCGTCAGAGCCTTTGATAGCCGCAACCGTTTCACCGTGCGCTCTCCAGTTAGCCCCCTGCCACCAAATGCAAACAGATAGGATACTATTGTCACTTTCATTCCAATGCACAAAATTTCAAACAGAACATGCCTATGCCTATTGATTTAGCTGTCCTCTACAGCATAAATCGATTCAACCTCAATATCTACCGATACCCAACTTCTAATCAGAACATCGAATCAACCATCATAAAATTTTACTGTTTTACATATACACAATCATGGGGTTTTCCACCCAACTCACATTCATGTAAAACCTCAATTCTTTCAAATAATAAACATTTCATTTCATTGAATATATACATACATATATACATATATATATATATATATATATCGAAAGTCGAATACTCACATTGAACGAGAAGCTGTGAAAGATTTTCGGGCAGAATCAGGGCCTCCGTTACTAGCATCAGAGGGTTTCTTCTTGTCCTGCAACGATGTGTTCGTCAATGACAGACTTCTCCTCGAAGAACCGCCTTGACTAGCCATCGTCGCCTTCAATCAAAAACCTTTATATTCTCCCTCTTCAAATCCCTGCGCCAAAATTAATTATTCAAAATTCAAAGCAATTCACGAATTTAATTTCCAAATTTTATTCATTCCCAATATAGAAATTTCTCAATCTTCGATTTTCAGCTTGTTTTCTCCATTTCCAAACATCCCAACCAAATAAACGAGAAAAATATCGGATTCTTTTATTCAATTTTCTTCCATTTTCTCGGCAACCAAACAGAAACAGAAACATAAACTCACCGGACCCAGAAAAAACCTCCTCCTCCTCTTCCTCCTCTACTACAATCGAAATTCAAGACTGCTTCAGAATTAGAATCCGAAAATCTCGACGAAAATTCAGAATTTGATTGAGTCACATCTTATCCCAGGTCCAAGGCCAAGGAAATCGAAGCTAACGAGCGACTCTATTGGAATTGGAGGCGGTGCTTCGAGAATTTTCCCAGGAAACTGAAACGCTCGCGGTCGGGGAATCTGGTCCGAAAACCGTGAAATTTTCCGGGAAAAATACACCGACCGGCGAGAGTGAATGAGACCCAGAGAGG